TCCCCCTCACACGCGTGGCTTTTATTCGGGTACTCCCGTTTCCTCCCACATGTAAACACTGATTAATTGGCTGATAATACAACACCGTAATATATACAGAACACCAGAGCTTGGGAAATTGTTGGCAGCCAGCTTAGTGCATGGCTGCCTTCCCACTTGACCCGTGGTTTCTCACGCCTCTGAGTCACTCTCTTCGAACATTAATACTGTTACAAGTAGAAATCATGATTATTCTCTCCAATGACGCTAATTGTTATCTTGTTATGTATTCCATGGCTTGCATCCAAATTGGAGCCATATCTAACAGAGGTTGTGTTGAACCAATGCTGCTGAAATTATGCATTCTTAGAAAGGCTTGTGGATGATTGGATTTGTAAAAAAAAGTAAAGGTGCAGATATAGGAATGTGTATTGTCTCCTTATGCCACATTGACTGCAATGTTCTGCCATGGAAATGTAAAAAAATATGGTATTGATTAACTCGCTAGTTGGTAAATATTGCCCTCTAGTGTTCAGTTTTGTTGTAATTCGTATAACACCCTGCTAACAAAGTGCACTCCTCTATGGAAAACACTTCAAGTATACAGGATAAAATTGAAATGTAAGTAGGAATTTGTTTCATCATGTAATTGAGACCCACAACTTATTTAACGCTTTGTGAAAATCACGTGGATAGAAGTGAACAATAAGTCCTCATAAATAATAATAACAATAATTATCGCAAGTGGCAAGAAACTCCAGCTTCTCCCCGACGGGGAATTGAACCCCGGTCTCCCGCGTGACAGGCGGGGATACTAACCACTATACTATCGAGGATTAGCTATGTGTGCTCTTGAATCGTAACATATTGAGATCTAAACACGTGAAGAAATAATGTCGCGGTTCAGGATTTTATGTTAGAACGTTGGGCGGGGGAAATAAAAATCAGGTTTTTGGCACAGATTATTAAACGCGAGATGAACCTCACCTGACAAAAGTAAACAACAAATCCTCATACATAAATGCGGCAATTGTGCTTTCATAAAAAAAAAATCAGCTTCCTCCCCGACGGGGAATTGAACCCCGGTCTCCCGCGTGACAGGCGGGGATACTAACCACTATACTATCGAGGACCAGCTGGCAACGACACTGAACCGTGATGTACTGAAATCTAAGGACGTTAAAACAAAATCGGGGACGCTTTTAGCGATCAATAGTATTCATCATAAAGGTTTTCTTTATTAAATCCGCCACCACCCGACACAGCCAATTATCATCAGGCCGATGAAGCTCTTTGTAATCAACAGCGAAACGTCGTACTCGAATTGTAAATGTTGTGGGTTTACTCTCCCACATTTATATTTGCGCGAACTTACCCAAAACACATTGGGGGCCGTCCATAAATGACGTCACGCACCTAGGGTGGGGGGGGGGTCAGACATTTGTGACGATGTGTGACGAGGGGGGGGGTGAGAAATGTGACGTCACAACAAAATGCGGAACTTTAATAAATATAGAATTTTTATTGTTTATATATTTTTTATTTTTTTGTTTCCCTTCTACGTGACTTTACCGAAAGAGCCAAGAATATGAATCCCTGAAGTCACGAAAGCTTTAAATCAAAATATAGAATTGTTATAACACTAATTGTTATAACAACACTCATACAACATCAGAGTGCAGCGCCACATTAAATATGCACTACAATGACAATAGTTTAAAGAGATTTGAAGCATGTTTTATTTTTAAAATGGAAATCTGGTTTTGGGGGAGGGGGGGGCAGAGCTTTTTGACGTCATATTTGAGGGGGGGGGTCTGACTTTTTGTGACGTCGTGTGACGAGGGGGGGGGGTCAAAAACCGTCCAAAATCGCGTGACGTCATTTATGGACGGCCCCTTGCTTATGAAATAATGTAGACCAAACCCTTGCCCATCGCGGGGGGTTTCGTTCTTGAACGTGGCATCAATTGACAAATCTGCGATCCGCAAACTCAAATGTGTAGTGTTCGATTTCACTCGGACAATTTTTGTCTTTCTTCGAACACCACTTTATTTACAACTCTCAGCATGTCCTCCACATTCCACAGTATCCAGGTCGCCACGGCTCGCTCGCCGTGCTTCACTCGACTCGCTCGCCACCTTTGTCTCTCCACTCCCCACGATTACTTCGCTTGCTCCGCACTCAGCGACTCCGCACTCAGCAACTCCGCACTCAGCAACTCCGCACACAGCGTCTTCGCACTCAGCGACTCCGCACTCAGCGACTCCGCACTCAGCGTCTTCGCACTCAGCGACTCCGCACTCAGCGACTCCGCACACAGCGTCTTCGCACTCAGCGACTCCGCACTCAGCGACTCCGCACTCAGCGACTCCGCACTCAGCGTCTTCGCACTCAGCGACTCCGCACTCAGCGACTCCGCACACAGCGTCTTCGCACTCAGCAACTCCGCACACAGCGTCTTCGCACTCAGCAACTCCGCACTCAGCGACTCCGCACAGAGCGTCTTCGCACACAGCGTCTTCAGCTCCGCTATCGCTACGCTCTCTCCACTACTCGCTATTCTCGTCTCCAGCTCCGCTATCGCTACGCTCTCTCCATTGCTAACTCCTTCTCTTCTTCAGCTCCGCTATCGTTATGCTCTCCCTACTGCTAGCTGCTCTCTTCTTCAGCTCCACTATCATTACGCTCTCCCTACTGCTAGCTGTTTCTCTTCTTCAGCTTCGCTCCACACTCTGTTTCCAAACTCCGTCTCCAACTCTGTCTCCAAACTCTGTCTCCAATTCTGTCTCCAAACTCTCGTCTTCCCTAAGCTCTCCAACGTCAACCCATCTCCAAGCTCTCCGCTCTTCAACCTCTCTCCCAGCTCTCCACCATTCAACCCCTTCTGTTGACTCCGACTTCCGCTCTTATACCCGCTCTCATTACACCCCAAATTAATTAACCCTCGTCCCAACGGCGCTCCGCGTGACCGTCACCTGTTTCTACTCCAGACCTTTAGACGCCTCTCTAGCCCCGGCAACAGCACCAACCAATCACAGCCATCCACGGCTCTCCCAGCTTAATTGTCCCAACATAACCTGCACTGTATTCGCCTTTGCTACAGGCTGACCCAAGATAACCCGTACTGTCTGTGTGATCATGTAATCACGCTGTTTCCACAACGCACCTTCGTACTCCACTACAAATGCAAAAAAAAAAGAGGGTTTCGTTTAGGGTTCGTAATACGACACCCACTCCTTTTACTTTTATGTTACACTACATTAACCCAGCCGTAGAACAGGAAGTATTTTTTTACATAAAATATGAAAGTTAGAACACGAAGTATATTTTTGTTCAATAAAATCTGAAAGTTTCTGCAGTGTTAAATATAACTTGTGCGTACGTGTGTTGAACTTCTTTCGCACCGTACGAAGGGTGTGTAGTGTCCAGAATGGGGGGACAAAATCTCTGCCTCACCGGACGAAGGGAAGAACACGCGACGAGGTGGAGATAAGACAGCGTGTTTATTATTTCGCGGTTAGCATCATCATTATCATCATCATCGCGGGCAGAGTGCCGTTAGAGTTACTCTACCTATAGGCCTCGGCAAGGTAATTTACCCTTTTTTTACCAGGTTAAAGGGTAAAGGTAAAGGTGTCAACATGGCAAGGGGTAAGGTAAAGGCTAGGGTAAAGGTAGCGTGTAGTGTTACCCGGTAAATACTCTGTTTACCACTCGCTAAAAGCTCCGTGGCGCAGTCCGTGGCTTTTATTTAAAATTGGAATCATCGAAAGTGTTGTATATGAATAAAGCGCTCTACCTAGCATTTACCTGTTACAAACCTTTTTCATGTGCAGTAGTGCCCCAGTAATTACCCTGTAATCGGGTAATTTGCATGGGGTAAGGGTAAAAGGTAGGGTAAAGGTAGGCTCGTTGCTTTTGACCTTTTACCTTACCTTGCTAAAGGGTAAAAGGTAAGGGTAGAGTGATTGTATTGTGGTAAGGTAAAAGGTAGGGTAATGGTAGGCTCGTTGTTTTTTACCTTTGACCTTGCCGAGGCCTATCTACCAGTCCAGTAATCTTCTTTGCGATGTGTAACTGCGAATGGTCGAGCCGCGAGTCACGAAAGCATCAAATCAAGATTGAATTCGTCTCAATACGTTTGGCCACGAACGGTTAAATTCGCGATGGGCGAGGTTCTGGCGCACTCGAGATAGCAAAACATCACAGCCCGGATGCAATGTCACATTTTTTCTTTCCTTTTCATATTCTGCGCATTGTTGACAAATTTACAATGAGATTGAGTAAATGGGTTAATGCAGTGGATACAAAAGTATTCAAAAGCAGCACAGTTTTGAAAGGCGCTTCATACATATTTTATTCAGCAATTGCAATGCCATTACTTTTAACGTAAGAAGTTAATATTTTGTGACTTATTGTTTCTCTTCAACGTGACTTTACCGAAAAAACTAAGAATATGAATTACTGCAGTCACGAAAGCTTTAAATCAAAATTTTGTGACTTATTGATGGTCGGAGTTTAGACCGATGGTTTTTGCTTCGTGAGTACTTAAAAGGTTTTTAAATTTTGATTTAAAGCTTTCGTGACTGCAGTAATTCATATTCTTAGTTTTTTCGGTAAAGTCACGTTGAAGAGAAACAACAAAATAACAAAATATATATAAAACAATAAAAATTCTCACGACGTTTCGACCATAACTCAAACGGTCATCATCAGGTCATCACCTGATGATGATCAGGTCATCACCTGATGATGACCGTTTGAGTTATGGTCGAAACGTCGTGAGAATTTTTATTGTTTTATATATATTTTGTTATTTTGTCAGGTCATCACCTGATGATGACCGTTTGAGTTATGGTCGAAACGTCGTGAGAATTTTTATTGTTTTATATATATTTTGTTATTTTGTTGTTTCTCTTCAACGTGACTTTACCGAAAAAACTAAGAATAATAATAATACTTAAAAGGTGTGATTAAATGTGCGAAGTGACGTCTTAAATAATAAATACTCGGTAGCTTCATTCAGAACAGGATTTTGCAATAACTTTAATGACACAACAGTTGGCAAACTCAAACCCTGAAGCCCAACACGGTCTGTAAAGAGGCAACGACATCAGGCACTAGAGCAGAGCATTCTCAGAGAGCGTAAGAGCGTTCATATGTACAGGCGATTTTATTTGTTGCGCACAATGAAAACACAAACGATAGATTATGAGACTCAGGTTTGGTCCATTGAGTTTTGAGGGGTAGTGCAGGAACATGCAAGGCTGTGGCCTTCTCACGATGGGGGAAGCCCCTTGGTCGTTTGGAAATGCAATTTTACTCGACTTCTAAATGTATCTAAGTTGGTACGGTCATCATTGTATTACAGTAGTAATATATCGTCATTCTCATCATCATCATCACCAGCTGTTATAATTTATCTTAATGTAACTTTACATTATTTCCATATGCTATCGTGGCTGGTTGAATAAAATACCTTCATTTTATAAACATCACAATGCTTCGGGGACACAAACTGATGGAAAATGCCACTTAATTCGTTTTACACCACCAGCCAATAGACTGACAATAGTTTAATTATTCCAAACCTTTCACCTCCGTTAAATACTTCAGCTGTCAAAGTTTAAACAATGTACATTGTAAAAAAGTGTTCTCATTTACAGTAAAATTCCACGGCACCCACTTAAAACAACATCGACTTCACTCTATCCTGTGATTCGGAACACTTGTTTCACCAACGCATGCAATTTTTTCCAACGGCGTAACAAACACATTGTACACAGGTATATTTTACAGGATAACGTAATTATAAGTTTTTACAAATGCCACAAACGTTTTACAGATAGCAGCAATTTAGAAAGCACGTTCAAATACTTTTTTTTCTTGTTTTGCTTTCACATGGCTTTAGTTACAGCAAATGCCACAGATATTTGATGGAGCTTTGGCACATGCGGTGTGTTAAAAACATAAAACCTAGACCACAGACCAAAAGCTACTGCAATGCGGTCCAGTGGCGTAACATCATCAGTTTACGTGTTTCGTCTGGTTGCACATTGCACAATGCGTGTGGCTGCTTCGGTCCCCGTATGTGTGATGTTGCATATGCTGTGGTTGGGCATGATGTACCACTACATTTGTTGGCCTTTGCTCGCACCTCCTGTAAGCACGGTTGGCTACGTACGGCGCGAAAGAAGTTCTACATACATACCGTCTTCTCAGCTGTAGCATCTGTGATGTTATCAGCGTTCTTGTGTGTCGCTGACCCGCATTTGGCATGTCGTGTACAATTATACGACTGTTGTAATGTGAATGTATGTTCAGCAGTTGCATGCATTTATAGGCATAATTTGTTTGGGTCATCAGTATTGACATTGAATTTAGTTGCACGTGGCTGAATGCCACCTTTGGTAGTATAATCGTTGTCTGGGGAACTCGTTATTCGTCATGATGTGAATTAATGTAAACACAATAATAACATCTACATGGAACATATGCTGTACTGTATACTGTATACAACTAGAGGTTAGCCTTCATTGGATTGCACCTAGTCAAATTTATAACGCTCAAATATGAATGCAGTACAATGTAGCATTTGTAATTCCTCCGATTAGCACGGTTGGCTGCATGCGGTGCGAAAGAAGTACAACTTACATACAATTGAGAGCTACATATTCATTTTGATGTTGATATATAAACCACATTTGATTGTGTATGCCAACTTAAAAGTTAAAGAATTCCACCACTCGGACAACAGCAATAATCTGATTATGGCCCTGAGCCAATGGTGAGATTTCAACATTCCTGTGGCAGAGGGCAGTTAATCCATAGGTCAGCCACTACTGTGTATACATTACACTTTGAATGATATGCAGAATTACAGCATATATAGGAATATATTATAACATTTCAAAAAATATAATGACAGTATACAGATTAATATATTACATACGGTAGTACAGTAATGTCATAATAATACATTACAAAGTGCCATTAAAAAAAAAAGTATCCTTAATACTGTATTGGGAAAAGCATGATTAATTTGGCGAGCACCCCCAGCAATTACCCATAGTGCATCATCCATGCAGTAAGGGGGTGCGGCGGGGGCAAAGCCATCGGATATAAATCTGCCCCCCCACCCCACCCCAGCCCTGCCAGTTACCGTTCCACTTCAGGTTTGTGGATATCACAATACATACAAAACTGACCTTCTTACCACCGCAACGTAAGCATGGCCAGCTGTGGCTACAGGTGTCAGTACGTGTTGCTGCCCGTGCACGTTGCGCGCGCGCGTGCGTGCGTGTATGTGTGTCTTTGTGTGCGTCTTGACCCCGGCAGCGGGACCAAATGGTGACCACCCCCCCCCCCACTCCGCTCACATGAGAACGATGTTGCGCGTGTCAGGCAGCCGGAAAGCGATGAGTCCTCCCATCGTCAGGACGACGGAGGCGAGCAGGATGGGGACCACCTTGGTGATGGTCACCAGGGAGCCGAAGATGACGTTGCCGAGCACCGCGGCGAGCCGGCACAGGCAGTTGAGGAAGCCGAACCCCGTGACCCTGTCGCACAAAAAAGGTTTCACTGGTAAACAAGGTGGGTCAAAGTGCACGTGGGTGTTGTGCTCTATGACCTCATCGTCATTCAGCGTTCGATTACCTGACCGCCGTAGCAATGTGAAATGTCCACCACTGCCCTCTGGGCAGCCGACGGAGGTTGAGCACCCTTCAGTCGTCGTGTTAACATGAAGTTAAATTTGATTGTATCATTATCACGTTCATGAACAATGACTGTGAGGTCATTTTGAGCATGCAGACATGGGGGATTTTGCCTTGGTGTAACGAACACATTCCCAACAATATATGTAGAGGTGAAAGGTGTTTAGACTGCATGGCATTCTTGGAGAGATCCACAATGCTTGTTGATATAACCACTTAACGTACACAGTATGGACCATAATACAGGTTTTTTTTGGGTTAGATCGCGTAAATATATAACATTTACAATCTGTAAATGTTGTGGCTTGGCTCTCCTACACAGCGGTGTGCTGTATTAGCAACGAATTTGCACGTTCTGTTTACGTGACAAACCTTACTAATTGGCTGTGTCGGGTGGTGGCGGGTTTAACGACGCATTTATATATTTCCGCGATCTAACCCAAAAAATCATGTATTATCGATGATATTGGTCGTGAAAGCCTACGTGTTAAACAGTATATGGAAGTAGAATTTTCCACCGAATTTTGTGTCAGAGGCCCTCCTTCACATGAATGGTCTGACAAAATATAGGCAATGTACTTGTTTTACCGCCATACACTAGCCAGCTCACTGGCCCTGCAGGTAGATGTCTCACTGACATGATCTTTGCATGTTCCACAAGCTCCAAATTGCTGAATTACCAGCTCGCACCACCATGCCCGGCTATACATGTTGGTCAACAGATTTCTGTATCATTAATTTCTTATTAAATATTTTAAGTATTAAATTGTTTCTAGCTTGTCTGTTCCCGGTGATAGTGTCCGGGCTCCTTGTGCAGAAGGCATTGCAGTTGTCACCTGCGGTCAGTTGGGAAGAGCTCAACGGTGAGGACGTCCAGCGAATTCCACGCCGAGATCGTGAGGCCGTTATAGAGGCACAGCATGCCGATCATGGTAGCGCCGCTGTTCCCGAACCACAGCAGGAAGCAGCTGATGCCGGAAAGCACCATTGAACCACCTGAGTTAGGTATGCACACACATAAGTAAGCACACAAATATAAACACATATCACGCGTAAAGACTAATATTCCCCATTTTTCAAAGAAACCTCTTATTTTAATTAAAATTGTCCCAAAGTGTTATACTGCTAAGGCCAATGATGACGGTATTTCAGACACGATGCCAAAGATGCACCATTTACCCTACGGGATTTTGGGGTAAGAGATGTGAGTGAGCATTTATTCAGGTCGACATAAATGTACAGCATGCACACCAAACTCGACACCTATGCATTGACAATCATAACCTGCATTAAAAGGTGGTGCTCATCTGCTCACAGGCAACAGTGAAAATTCCACGTTCCTATGCCAGTGGTGAATCTATTTATAGGACAACCAATGTTGACATCCCCACAAATTTGTACTCATTTTATCGACCTCTAAACAGGACTTGACCTTGCAACCTTCCGATCGCGGGCTGCTCACTCTTCCGCTGAGCCACCTGGCCGGATTCTAACACGTGTATGCACAACAGCATTTGTTTTTTTGCTCAAAACACAGCTGCATACGTATCTGTTTACTCTTGCACCAATTGCTTGGTTGCTTGCAAAGCACTTTTTTGATTATCACGAAAATTGCCTCGGTTCTTGATGCAGGGGGAATGTGAAAAACATGTGACCAAATCAAGTGCAAGCAATAAACCGAGATAGCTTTTGCATTTCTTTTTCCAGTCCGTGAACGGTATTATACCATTACACTCAGCATGTGGGGAGTGCAATGTTACATTTGTTTCTCTCAGGGCCTGACCTGAGAATCTCAAGAGACGGTGGTGGTGCATTACTCTGATGTTTTACCTTGCACGACATGGAATGTTACTCCTTGTGAAGCACTGTTCTTAATCCAACCATGTGCAGTTTATAACTGAACAATAGTCGCTCAGTTCGCAGCTTATATTTGAGGTATTTTTCAATGAAAAATACTAAAGTAATAATTATGAATAAATATGCTTATCAGTAACTAATGCTGCAAAGGTTATATATATACACGTACAGGATTTGTCTTTACACCAAAACCTTTTTAATTACTTTCTTCGCTTTAACATTGCCAGTACTATTCAGGAAGACGTCTATATTCTTAATTGCAAAAAATATGTATGCTGTAATTTATTCAGAAAAAAGGTTAAATTCCCTGATGCCTACGAGACCGCCACACCAAGGCCTCCTTTCTAAGAATGATCCCCACCCTCTGGCTTTTAGGTCCTCACGTTTGTCATCAACCTTGAGGTACAACTCCAATATCGGTTTCGTTAACCTCTCTTCCAACCTGCGTACACCTCCTTTTGATTACGTCTACACCACTTTATTGCCATGTTTGATGTAATAACTTAGATTAATTATAAGTTACTTAAAAAAATATATACAACATTTTATATCACTTTTATAATGATGTCCAACCACTACATTTTGTATTTCATGTGAGTTAGAGAAGAGGAAATCTGTAAACAAATAAATACACTACTTAAGAACAGTATTACTGGTAGGAAACGTAGTGGACTGGAAGCCCAACCGGGATTAATTCACAGGAGGCAGGGGATTAATTGTGTATGTCTGTGGATGTCTGTCCACGTGGGAGGGGTGGGGCTGGGTGGAGAGGGTGGGGTAGGGAGGGGCTGGGTGGGGAGGGGCTTGGTGGGGAGGGGAGGGTGGGGAGGGGCTGGGTGGGGAGGGTGGGGCTGGGTGGGGGGTGGGAGGGGTGGGGCTGGGTGGGGTGGGGCTGGGTGGGGAGGGGCTGGTCACCCTGTGGTGCCCTTATAAAACTCAACGTTTAACCTACTCACGCCGGCTTGTGCCCGCCCTCACAGTCGGGCATATTTGCGGAATACACCACACCGCCGTTGACCCTGGCCACTGACCGAGCAACCAACGTTCCTACCAGCCCCCTCCGCAGGAATGTGTTTCTGTATTGGTTTTTACATTAATATTATGATATGATCCTTTTGTGTCATAGTATAGCCCCTTTTCTACCATCATTGTGCTGCTGCTGTATGTAATGCAGGTAAGAGAATACATTTTGACTGCTGAGAAAAGTGTGGTTGGGCAGTACATTTAGCTTAGGAGGGACGATGGCCATTGGTCAATAACGTATCATGGACAGACTGCCAAAGGGGAGAACACCATGGAGATGGAGTGATAAAAGCAACTCGTGTGCAGGTACTAGATGGATTGCTGCATCTAGAGACTGCAGGATGGCGATGGCTTGGAGAGGATTTCATCCAGATGTGGATTTATCTTGGCTGATGATGATGAGGAAAAATTCGACCATGCCATTAAATACAATACCTAACCATATCATGATGGCAGTAATGTTATGACACGATCTTCTGTGTGTGATGGTATAACCACCTAGCTACCATTTGTTTTGCTGCTGCTGTTTATGACGTCAATTTGGCAGAAGCACACAGACGTTGGAGCCGGCTTCCTGTCCTAAGCCAGCATGTTTTTTTTTTTACGTTTTTATAGGCCGATACATCACGCCGAAAGATTCCAGTGACGGGGTCCAAAGTCTCCGCAGGTGAATCCATTCTGGCAGGTGAGAAGAGGAGGGGGTGGGGGGGGGGGTGTAGGGCCCAGCTGCCCCAGCCAAGTGGGACCCCCCCCCCCCACGTAATCAGGGAGATGAAGCTCACCCAGCATGTTGAGACGGCCGATGTGGTCCATGAGCAGCGCCGACACAATGTTGCCGGGCAGCACGGCCAGCGTGCCCAGGAACGTGACGAAGTAGACCCAGAAGGCACTGTAGTCATTGCTGTAGCCGATGTGGCAGCCCACTTTATTCTTCTCGAATGTGGTGTTGAGAAGCAGGCTGCCCTCAAACTTGAACGCGAAGAAGTCTGAGCATGGGGGAGAAAAAAAGATAATGTTTGTTTTTGTGGAGAAAAAAAGTGACTGCCATTCGTAATTAACGATAGTTCAGATGTTGCTTTATTTTTTTTACCGTTAAGCATGATTAAATCGGTGTGGATTTAAAAAAAAAATAATTACTTTATTACGGAACATTTAAGGTATTAATGTTGCTGTTATTGTGATTCGTCATATGTATGTTTACAAAGAAATGCACAGTTTATTTGTCATATTTTCCGATTGCTTGGACTCTTCATGGCAAACCAGGCTTGTAGAATCAAAATGTCGCAAGGAGTTGTTTCTGTTAAATCACATTTTGATGTATTTACAAATCCTCCCATGATCACGCTTGTTCATACGTAATTACCGCCACATCTTTGCCATACATTCCCCAGTGCGTTATGTTTAGGTGACACACACACACACTCTCAAGAAGGTCTCGTGCATGTTTCGCTCAGTAAACCCTTCTGTCTTGAGGAGACCAAATTCCGCGTCACTTTCAACATAAAGAGATTGGGGTTTTTTTTTGTTGCGAGTGGAATAAAGTAATTGGGCTGCAGGACCTGGTTGTCATATTTAATGCGCATAATGTCTGTCACCTATCTAAAGAAATATATATCGTCCCCTTGGGACACATTTAAATTCACGTCATCGAGGTGTCAGCCCACGGCTGCCAAGCGGGGGTTTGCACCTCCCAAATCCGACCCAAAGCACCTTCACATTTTAACCTTTTTTGACAGCTCCTTTGCACCCTGCCACGATGAACAAAGCTCACCTCGCTGCTTATTAAAACACATCAACGCAAAGTGACACGGCGAGCAGACCCACGAGGCAATTAACGCGTCTCCGAGATGTAAACCTACATGCGCTATATTGGTCAATACGTGCCACCGGTTCTGTCGAAAGCCTGTCAAGTGGAACATTTTAATAAGCTTAGTGGTGGTTTTTTTTTGTCTTCTTCAGAATCATTGTAATGCCCTTGTAGTTGCTGCATAGCAATTACAAGTGTTATTAGGTTTTTGTTAAACTTTTTCTATAGGCACCGTATGCATCAAGATGTTAAGATGAGCCATTATTCAACCACTCGGGCACAATTCTCAAGCTGGCATAAGCGTCGTAAGGCTCGCATGCCACTAACCTGTGTTGTAAAATGTCGTGTTGATGATGGTGCAATTCACGAAGAAAGTGCTCAAGGAGGTAACGTCGTCAAAGTAGCAGTTTCTGAATATTGAGTTGTTGAACGTTACAGACTTGAACTTCATGTGCACGAACCTGAAAAAGATGAAAATGGAAGATGCAGTAAATTGTCAATGAAATCGTTATTTTAGCAGAAACAGAACTTTAATGCAACTTTGTTTTCATTAGAATGTAGCCTTTAGTCAATACTTTATAAATAAATAAACTATATTGTTCGAGGCACATTAAAATGACCGCATCCTAAAAATATTCTTGTATATCTCAGTCAGAACTTGGTTCAGTCACTCATTGCGAATGATTATTCTTGACTTTACGTACATATTGACAACATTGAGATTGTAGATACAGCATACCTGTTGCTCAAAGCGTCCCCATTTAAGTTAAACACATTTGGTAATAATGTTCGTGTAAACTCGGAACATCCATCCAGGTGGCGCTGAGACAGAGAGCCAGGTTCACCGTCAGTATGTGAGTTCAAGTCCTGTTAACGAGTCAATTGAGCTCACCATCCCTGCGTGATCAATACAACCTATGGCCAGACTGTCCCCCACCTCCCCCCACCATGGGGATGTAGAATTTCAACCATCAACAGAATTTAGCACCACCCAGACGCTCATTCGACCACAAGAACTCGTTGTCGACCTGACGTTGACTCTGCATTATAAACCACTTTCACGTTAGGTCACAGTTGTCACACGATAAGCCCTTCTTTAACCTCGTTCAACATTTTGTAATTTCCAACCCCCCCACCCCCCCCAAGAAAAATACGGTTGTAACTGCTGTACCAGCTATGCAGCAGAGAGAGAAAAGAGTTGAGCGGCACCTGTCATTGACGAACTCCCCATTGTTGTGGACCTGGTTTGCCATGGAGAAGTTGAAGGTGGTGTCCACCACACTCTGCTTGTTGTGGATCTTCAGCAGCTTCGCGTACTCTTCGTTCTGCAGCTGCTTGATTATCTCCGGGAACCACACACTCAGCCCGTAATAGCTGTTGACGAGAAACGTCGCAGCGCAAACGGGACGCACGCTAGCGGCGAGCAAGGCATGCGTTGGCGCTCCGACGAAAACTGGTGCATCCTGAAAAATAGTGCATCCTGTCCAGATATCTAATTTGTTCGCTATAATTAGTTCGCTGATCCATGCGTTTCGTTTTTAGTCTCACCGGTATTTACTGCGCGAGCGTAAATGTATATTCCGCCAACACATTAATCCATCCCATTTACTTCCCGTACGCCCCAAACCGCATGCAAATTAATTCGACGGCAATAATCCAACACGTCGTTTGTGCAATGAGCCAAGTCGTATAACAGTGGCATTTCATACGCAAAGCTACCTGAGTTATATTGCAATTGGTAATGAGTGATGGAATACACTGCACATCTGTGAAAAATAGCTTCATAGCTCATCGGATTCCTCCAGTATAAATAAACGGTATTATTCTGACACAGTTGCTTCTTACAAGTGACCTGCACGTATCCGGGTGACTGCGGGTTGCTTACCCGAAGGATAGGGTGCACCAGACAGCCACCAACATTAAAGAGGTCCTCCTGATGGGACCGGCAAAGCACATCCGCAGGGTCTTGCATATCTTGGGGAGAAAGGGAAATTAAAGGTTGGAAGGGTGGCGGATGCAGTGGGGGGTTCGGGGCACGGGTCAAGGGTCATGGGTGGAAAAGCATATGCAGAGAGTGAAAGAGTCACAAAGGCTATGGACCATGGTGACAGGTGTGATTAATGAACGTGCCTTTGAAATGTGTGGCCACTGCTGTACGATTGTTACTTTAATGTGTAAGATCCATTGTGCGGCGCACTCAAGATGATTCGTGATTGATCGCAAAGTGGCAGAGGTGCTGGAATAGGATAAGTTGCTAATCGAAGGATTCATCTAACATATGTGTTCATAAAACACTTTCAAACACGTCATTTATATTGTTCACGAGTGAAAAATAAAGATGTTTATCGCAGGTTTGGAGTGTGTGCATCAATTCTAGCATTCCTTGTCCAACAATTAAGGCATGTACTTTGAACGAATTACTTTTAACGTGGGGTTGGTGGATCGGAGATCATCTTACGTGAAACAACTACCAGCAAGTTCATGAGATCTAGTGTAAGAGGCAATACAGCAACGAGATTGTTGAGCATACTGTGTACGTTTCCATGGTGTTCTCGCACATGGAAACATGCTCATTCATAAGCCACATATCTTAAACGGGACCTATCCTAAATGTGTTTATGTCGCTCCAAATTTAAGGCTTTTGTGGGTCGAGAATTACACGTATTGTTATGCAATGAGGGGGGAGTGGCGGTGCAGTGGTTAGCGCTGCTGCGGGACGAATGTAGCAACCTGAGTTTTAGGGTTCGTGGTAGCGATCCGTGGCACTCGTGTCGAGTGCTCCACTGTCCCCTGCTGCTCACAACGTGGCCCTGTCCCCACTGCCTCAGCTTCAACAAACCACACTGGCCAGTGTGGTGATGTATGTCGATCCCGACCCTGACACCTGCTGTATATTTGGAGTTTGCATGTCTCTCTTTCTCTGTGTGTGTGTGGCCTCGTGGATTTTTCTCCGGGTCCTCCGGGTTTTCCCTACACATTTAGAAACATGCGTATAGAGCATTTGGCTGATATAAATTGACCCGTGATAAGCCACTTCGTTGGGCGATTGTTTGTGGCGAGGTCGCTTCTCAAACAGAGCTATATAGCTCAGTGGGCCTTATCTGGTAAGATAAACACTTTTTTTGTTTTAATAGTTTAAACGCTCTGACCGACACGGTGTGAGATAGGCCTTCATCCAGCAGTGGATTGACAAAACGGCTGCAATATAAGAATACGCAACACGATATATCGTGGACAGTTTTCATTTACAAATCCACCAGTCTCCTTCCACCCAGCTAGAGATTTCATAAAAATCCATAACGCATCGGTGTTACGTTGCCACTTAAAGTTTCACTGTGATTGAACCCTCAAAGCGTGTTTAGAGTGCCCCCATTTAGAAGGACGCGGGGGATTTAAACGGCAGTCCCCCAATGCGCCGACTAGGAGGCGCTCGAGATGAAACGTACAACGAGGCGGGCAGCTCTCTGTCGTGCCGCAGAGCTGCGGTTACAAATCCCGGCCGATGTATTGCGAAGTGCGTGCGTCGTTTCGAGACCGGCGTGGCGTCGGTTTTGTGGACCACGTCTGTTGTGCTCAGTTTACACCAGACAAGGCATACATGGGAAAGGATTGTCCAACCGGAAGATGCTTAAACACTCCACCCTTGATAAAGTATTAAAGCTTTCGTGACTGCATACAATTACTCATTGTTTTTTTTTTCGGTAAAGTCACGTATGTAGAAATTCAATAAAATTATATTAAAACAAAAACAATCACAATGGTTGTTTTGTTTTAATATAATTTTATTGAATTTCTACACTCCACGCTTGCTCAGCTCTCCATTCATGTTTTCGCAATAAATGTGCACGTTGATTGGTGGAGAGGATAAGGATGTAAGTGCAAAGGAATGGGTTTTAATAATAATTACACTGCGCTCCTGGATATCATAACATACATAGTACGGGACTGTCATTCCTGGTCCACTGATGTAATAAAAATTTTGAACCATAAAATCTTAAACAATTCCAATTCTGGCGAGCGAGGTGGTGGCGCTGGGGGAGTGATAACGATACATCGATTATTCCATGAAAATAAGATTATTCCACGCATCGAACCCAGCAGATGAGATTATTTTTTATTCGTGTTGTGTGATTAGTTCACACAACACCTGCAGCCACTCGGGTTGTTACGACACACACCGCAGCGTTAAACACATACAAAATAATTGAGTCTTAATTTGAATTGCGACCCCCCTGCAGCTGATAAAATTCGCTGCATACCGTTACATGGTACACGTGTGACCCTCCGTTTTTTCACTTTCAGTTTCATTAATCACGGAATAGCCCTGTGAGCCATGCGGCTCTTGACTCGGGTGCAACCGTAAGTCACTACGTGACTTGACCGAATAAAACCAAGAGTATGAACAAAGAACATTTTTAAGTGACTACGCGCAACAGAAAAATCCAGCTACACCTGACGCTGGCGATACAAGGGACCTCGATATGGAATACAGCTGCTTCAATGTGGGTACGTTCTGTATGTAGGACTTCAAGTGGGATGATAGGCAGCCAGACTGAGGCTGAAGCTTCGAAACTCCGATTGAAGTTTAAATTCCGACGGCTCAGAATGAAGTGATCCACAACGTACGGTGCGACAGAAGTTCAACATGCAGTACACACAGAGTTACATATATATTCTCGGTTCTTTCGGTAAAGTCACGTAGAAGGGAAACAATAAAATAATAAAAATATAAAACAATAAAAATTCTCACGACGTTTCGACTGCAAAACAAGCAATCATCATCATCACGAAAGCTTTAAATCAAGAGTTACATATGATAGGTGGCTTTCCAATTTTCGGGAAAACTAATGGCGTTCCTGCTCACGATTCCGCATTGCGCATGACAATACTGCACGTACACAATCCACTGCTGGATGAGGGGCCTCTCTACGCCCTGCAGGTCCTGTGGGTTAATTGACCGTACTTCACCATTGCTGGTCAGCAGGAGTTGGTGAGCACAAGAGTACGATCATGGATATTGCTCCACTGTCCCCTGTTGCTCACAACGTGGCCCTGCAATCCAGAGGTCATCGGGGTCGATTTTCAGCGCGCACTCCTTGAAACAAGGGGGCTAGTTTCTTAAATTCTCCCACCTCTGTCCACCCAGCAGTATGAGCATGTACACCATGGTCGATCTGTAGGCCACGTGTGGTGAGGTGAAGTGTGGGTACTCCCACCTCTTCCAAGGTGTCTGGACAGTGTGGAAGAGTAGGCCAAATACCCTCTAGAAGGGTACTCTAGTGCTCCTTCTAATGGAAGTCCTGATGTCCGATTGGGTTACTATGTAGTTATTATTATCATTCGCTTTTATCATAGTCTACATTTTATTGGAATTTCGAGAGTAGTCATTATTAGCAGCTTTCTATTTCGATTAGATTTTATCTACGCCTGTGAGTGTAGTTTTTTTTTACGTGCAGCGTTTTCAGATACTTGAATATGAAAGTCATTTTATAAAACAGAGTGGCGTGATAAATAAATTGCAGGGGTGCAACTTTACCGTGACATGTAACTTACTGCCTTTACAAAACAAATATGCCCACACTGTGCCTGTGCAGACTCTTGAGACGCGGTCGTATGTCGTGGCTGTGTGAATCCGAATTTCGTTGCATCGTATCTATCTCGGGTATTGCAATACCCGAGATAGATAACGGAATTCTGTCAATAAGTAAAAACGAGATATATTAAAAACGGCAACGATATTAAATAATTGTGGGCGTTGGGAGGGAAGTGATAATAGCCTCATGCTGATCTAAGTTACCGCGATAACATTTCTGGAGAACATGTGGAATAACATTTCGATTGTGGTTTTTTCCATTAGGTTTTTGTACCCTTTTTATATATTCAGACAGTGCCACTGAAGTATTATTTAATCGTAATATTGTTTTGCGAAAAAATATATATTATGCAATCATGTTGCAAGGGAACATTTTCATCGTTTCACAATTGCTTTGTAGCAATAGCTCAAATATGATGTAAGGTTTGCTTTCTCTCGTGCACAGAATTGTTGAACACACAATGATGTCGCCCGCCGCTCATGTATTTGTGCGTGCTGTTTGAGGCGCTGTGTGTGTATGTTGAACTTCTTTTGCACCGTACATCGCCAACCGTGCTCGTCGAAGGTGCGGGCTAACATCTCTGTGCTATGCCGTGGCACAGGGAAATCTGTGCACGTTGTTGCAATCACCCTACCTCTGCACAATATGAGTGTCACATTGGTACTCTGACCATGGCGTGGGCCTCGCCCTAGATCAACTCAGCCTAAAAAAATCAATACCTGTCGTTTTATTTATACGCTGGGGAGACAAAGTAGAGTCCACACCATACTCCTATGTGCCGTGCCAGCCTCATTTGCCATCCCATGCTCACGGCCAGCACTTTGTGCCAAACAGCATGCTGTTAGGCAATGGGATAAATTGGTCTTCGTGTGTGTTAGTGTGTACGTACGTGTGTGCGTGTGTGGGGGGGGAGCGGTGGTGTAGCGGTATGCACGCTGCGAAACCTGGCGACCCGGGTTCGTTCCCGCTCACGGCCAATAGCGGTGACGATTATATCTGAACCGGTCCTGGTCCTCCCCTAGGTCGACTCAGCCTCAAATGAGTACCTGGTGTGGTGTGTAAACATCGCCACTCGGGAGACAAAGGCGGTCGGGCGTGGTGCTGGCCACCCACCCCCTCGTGTACCGTGCTGGCCTTCATAGGTGCTCGCTAGCAGCACTTGCTCCTACAGTCTGTTAAGGCTATAGGGGCATCTTTGTCTTTTTTTGCAAGTGTGTGTGTTTGCCTTTGTATTTTTGTGTCTGGCGTGTATTTATGTGCGTGTGTGTTTGTATTTATGCCTGTATGTGTAGTTGTGTGTTTGAGTGTGGATTTGTGTTTGAATTGATACCCAATAGAAATAACAGTGCAGAAAATACATACTTAATACATAAATACATACATAAATACATACATAAAGACAATATTAAGTGCGTGTTAATGCATGTACGTGTTTGTCGGTGTGTCTCTTTACGTACGTATGTTTTTTTTAAATCTCCGCATGTTTGCGTGTGTGGACTTATTAAAGGCGGTGTATCACTGGTATCAATATCAGCCTCTGTGGACGAGGCCCGTAAAATATACGAGTGGTCAGTTGGAGGCAGCTGCCCTCCGGCAACAAAGGAGGGTGAAGGAGTGACTCAGACTAATGGGCAGAAGGCCGGGGCCGCTAAAACACAACAGGCTAGGGGCCTTCCATTGAGTAGGTACGAAAAAAATCTGTCAAAACTTGACCCCTCCTTCCCTCCCTGTACGCACGTGAACTTTTTACACCACCCCCCCCCCCCCGATTCCTATAGAACGGCCGATATTTAATCCACGCAGAAACGATCAAGGATTAATACTATTAACGTGTTTAAGCAAACAGATAGTCCACCGTCGGACTATCTAACTCATTTGAAGGCTAATGTAGACAAATTATTATCGAGGCTTCACCCCCCCCCCTGTTTCATATGCGTACGTACATTGTCAGTAGACCCCCCCCCCCCCCATACGCAAGCGTACGCATTTGGGTTAACACCCCCTCCCCCCTCCATGCGTACGTACTAAATGGATGGCCCCTTAGCAAATGGGGAACACAGATGGTCTTCATCCGCCAGCATCTCAGGCAGCTCATCCTGAACACCTGTGCCTGTACCATGACCTCTGTTGAGTGAACCTTCAACTCTTCATGTGGCCTCAAAGTGCGCGTAGCCTGGCACAAGCAGAGTGATGATTTAACCGCCAATGGCGATTATTGTTACGCGTCTCCAGATACGCGCGCCTATGTATATATTTGCGTGTATTTGTGCGTGTGGGAGAGCAGTGTCATCGTGGGCAGCGCTCCGAACTACGAACCGGGCGTTCAAATTCGATTCCCGTCCATGGCAAACGTCAGCGACGATTGACACGCAAAGCGGCCCAAGGCATTCCCCCCCCCTTCCCCCCCCCCAGGTCAACACACCTTAAGTGAGTATCTGCCACGGTGTGCAAGAGCACTGGGGAGACAAAGGCAGCTGACTACGGGTGCTGTCCACGCCACCTCCTTGAGCGCTGTGCCGGCCTTAATAGGTGCTCACTAACAGCGAAGGTCCGTCGGTGGTTACAGCGGCGGGGGTGGATCTGTGGTCTCTGTGCGTGTGTGCAGATCACCCTCCCGTGACTCACTGAGTGCAGCTGCGTGCCCGTGCGCATGGGCAATCGGCGGTACCAGACTCGGGTGTCCGACATCATTTCCACCAGCTCGTCCTCCTGCTTCAAGGTCTTGATCTGCGTTACCTGCACAAAGGGCACCCGCACGGCGCCGGTCACGTCCGCGGCTGACGCACACCATCGCTGTGTACGTGTGTACGTCAGTGACATGTGGTGAGGTCAATGGATGGGGAGGCACTGCCTAGTTTCAGAGCCAAATTTACACACTGAGGGGGGCGTGGCTTCACTGAAGGGGGCGTGTCTGACACGCCCTCCTCAGTGAGGCAGATGTGATAGCTGCCTCCCCTGGTGGATTTTCATTGCAGTTTCATGACGAGACCAGCGAGCCTAAATATATTTATACACAATACGTGAAATAAGTCACCTGGAGTATGGAAGGCGAGGACATGAAATGAAGGGGTCTACAAACATTACATTGGTGACACACAGAGAGATAGTAACAGGCACACGCTTATTGCCCGCACTCCATCTAGTTACTGAGAGGTTGCGCAATCAGAGAGGAGGCTGAGCTCGTCGCTGCCTCACCTCTCGTCTCTTCCTGCAGTATTCACAACGGAGCTCCGAAAATTTGGCGATTTTGACTATAAAAATGATTGGAATCGTACAGAAGTGACATTTATAATGCACATCAGTGGAAAAGTCTAAATATTTATTTCTTTGATTATTCTATTTTTTTACTTTTCGTAACAGCTATTTTCATTGGAGTATGACAGGCGAGGCTCTGCCTCTCCTGCCTCCCCTGACCGCACGTCCCTCGTGTACGTAGGTACCGTACGTTGAACTTCTTTTGCGCCGTGCATAGCAAGCGGTTGCTTTTCCAATCATTGGTTCGATCACTCGACTGATCGGATAACACGACAATGGTCGGGAAATTAGTCGTATCTCTGTCTTCCCACGTGTGACGCTGGACTGGTTTTTATCTGGGGGTTTTTTTTGCACACGTGCCGTTTTTCAATGGGTCCCGCGAGAGTTATTGTACCATCAAGTGTACATTCTCACACGGTGCAATGTCCTGTTGGATACTTCATCTACCTTGTCAATATTCCCTCTTAGCATTCCTCACATTGCCTCTGAGGCTCAGCCATAGCCATTGATCATTTTACAATGAGAACCTTGTGTTGAATACAATTGTGTGAGGACATTTTTGGCCCTGAGATCAGATGTAGAAAAAGTGAACAAATAGAAACTTTTTGATAGCAATTCAAAAACGTGAATCATCTGTCTGACAAATGCCTCAAAAACATGTATGTTTGGTGTATATATATACCCTGCCACTGATACATGCAAGCTCGTGTGCACTGGCCCTAATCGAAAACAATCTTCCTGAATATGGTTTAAGTGAGTTTTTTTTTCAGTGTCTCAACTGGAGGTGGCACTGCGCTGTGTTTATGGTTATCGGTAGAGGTGTCATGCGGTTGGCATGGGACCTGGTGCACGGATTAACAGGGGGGCTCAACTGTCCAGTTTCCCCATTTTTTCTTTGAGTCCCTCCCACTCGTGGGTCCCAGTGAAGTTCAGAATCAGAATATTTTAATCTATGCTGGAGGAATCCGATGCGCTATAAAGCTATTTTGAACAGATGTCCAGTCGGGGCGGGTAAGAACGTTACAACAATAATCAATACACAACACGATAGGAGTAGAAAGTACAAGAAAGATAAACAAATCACCAAAACACAAACAAATAAATCTAAACCATCCTGAGGCAAAGCCCACTCATGTATTCACTTATTTTGCAAAAGCAACCTGGCCACAAATGATAGCTCAACAAAGTGGTTTATCATTTGGACATTTACAGCATGCACACTCCATAGCTACCCCAACATTGATAGGTAAACTTGAACCATTGGTAAAAATGCCCACCTTCTTATGGCAGTACCAGGACATCTGTTTTTTTTTAAGCATTGAATTCCAACAAAGTGGTTCAATTTTTTTCAGCTCATAGGAATATTAGTTGAGACTACCCTTAACCAGCATTTGAACTCACAACCTTTCGATTGATCATGGGTCAAGCACTCTGACCCAAAGTCACCTGGATGATCCTGGGAAAACCAGGCCACAACAGGTGGCAACTCTGGTGTCACATGGTATGGTCATCAGTCTCATGCTGTTATCAGTATAGCTGATGGCCGCCTCTTCAAGGATGACGCGTCCGAAGGGGGGCGGGGTCCGTGAGTTTTGTAAATGAGCGTGCGCGCTTACAGTGAAGACTCTCTCGGGGTGGCCCCGCGCGCGCATGTTGGTGTCATGCACCTGCTTGAGCACCATCCACGCCTCGTCGTGCTTCCCCATCTGTGACACGAACGCACGCAGTTCCACACGTTAGGCTTTCGTGACCAATATTATCCATGATAGAGGTTTTTTTTTTCTCTCTTTGGATTAAATCGCGTAAATATAAATGTTTCCTTAAACCCACCGCCACCCGACGCGGCCATATAAACAAGGTTTGTCACTTAAATAAAACGTCCCAATTCGTTACTAGTACAGCACACCGGTGTGTTGGAGAGTAAACCCACAACATTTGCAATTCGAGTGCCGTGACGTTTCGCCGGTAATTACAACCATCCTCATCCGGCGATAGCCAGCTTAGTGGTCTGGTGTGACCATTGTATGACCGCTGAGCCACATGGACACATGATCCTCATTACTTGTAGTCACATTTTCCCAATTACCTTATTGAGCTTCTTGTTGAATATTGATAAAAGTTATCGATGGACCAGAAGATGGCACAACCCAGATATACTTCTGTGACAGCTGGATCAATGCCACTTGCCACCTCCGTCATTATTAATCACATTTTTTTGTATGCAACCCAATGCACATCTTGGAAGAAGATTCGCAAATTTAATTGATTGGCCAGAAGGTGGGCCAGTGAGGCCAGAATGTGACAATGTTCGTAAGCCCAGTGTACATTGGCATTGATCGTGGACTTTGAGTTATCACAGAGTACACCTGGGTGGATGCTGCAACTACAACTGGTGGGTGAGCTTTTTGATTTGGGGAGAGTAGTGACGTAACATGATATCCATACACCAAGGAAATAGTACAGCCACCGTTACCCTGTGTGAGATTCCCAACATGTAGGGCTTAACCCAGGTGGCCTGTGGATGGCAGTATAGCAAGTAGTTCGCTGTGAACACCTGTATAATGTTTTTCCAACGTAATGTCCACCTAGGCGTGGGGTTTTCCCCAGGTGAATTGCCTTTCTCCCATGTGCAAGAATAATCACTGAAAAAATTGGCCAAATATCCAAACACTGCACCCTCCTGAAAAATACCATTTACACTCAATTATGTTTTCACAGTGTTTATATTATTATTTTTGTTTTGAGCTGTGCATTGTATGCATAGGGTTACGTTCATGGAATTTAACAGCTCAGCTCAGTCTTCATTGTAATTTTGTGTGTATTTTTCTCTCAATCCCACTCATAATGTTTATGCCCAATTCCTTTGACACGATGTATTTGTAGTCTCTTCGGGCTGCTATCTGGTTCCAGCCACATGAATGCTTTCGCATATAATGTATTAGAGGAAAATAAAATCGCTTATTTGCACTGAAATGGGGTGCTTTTGAGAAGAGTGAAATCTAATAATTGTGAACAGGATATAAATGGGTTACTGTTCATAGGCTGAGAACATATGTTCTTGCGGTGCAAGCCTCTCAGTAGATTATATAATACACTCATGCCATGTGCCGTGAGTAATACCCACGTGTAGCACAATATTATGAATCACCGGTTTCATAGGATCAGACGGTTGATTTATAGGTATAGGCATGAGACTAAGTATATATTGCCAATCCATAAACATAAAATGCTGGGATGAAATCAAATGTGGGTATCACCTGGGAAATATCTACCATTACATGCAACAGTCCTATTGTCAATCCACTGCTGGATAAAGACCACACCATGCTGTGTGGCTTTTGGTAGTGGCAATACTTCACCATGCTCCTCCTCACTGCAGTTTGGTAAACGCGCAGAGAATAGAAGTGCAGTACAACAATGTATTTTACTACAATACCCTCTGCTGCACACAACGTGGTCCAGCAGCAGCAGGAGCCTATAACACCTGTTTTATACGTGGTCACCCATCCATGCACTATCCAGGCTCAACCTTACTTAGCTTCCAATATCCATGAGATTGGGCTAATAAAAGGTGATTTGGCCATAGGCTAGTTATTATGTATCGGTAATAACTACAGTATTCCCACAATGGCTATGCTTGCACAAACATGTATGTTTATTAATGTTTTCGCAGCATCATCAGCACCATCAGCAGACTTGCTGTGGCTGCCTTCTTACTCTTAGTATGCCCCATGGCATGCAATATAATTAGAGGAGAAAAACATTACAAAAAACGACGCTTGAAATTGAAATGCAATTGCATTGTAAAACGTGCAGGTGAGCCAAGAATACCAATGAGAGGCATGGCATTTAGCTTGCCCAACCTGGTCATGTCTGGTGGCGTTAACATTTTTAAGTGCAATTTCTTCTTAGCAGCAATACAACTGCTGTGTATGCCTTTGTATATATTTTTTTCAGAGTGGATTGGAAATTGCTGTTGTGAATGCTGCTTTGGCTATGCCACATTGCACATTCCAAAGCATTGGTCTTTTTGTTACCAGGGGAGATGTTGCATGTCTGCCACTCGACTCATCGCAAACACAGCACACCAGTCTCCTGCTGCCCTTCCCTCTAGGAAGGCTGATGTGCCACGAGTGTGGATATGTCTGGTCACAGCAACTCGACATGAGCGAGCGTCATTGTGGTATTTATCAAGTGGTGCCTGTCTCTAAGCCTCACGCCAGCCCAACATCTGGAAAGTATTCTTTATAAATACAAAATTGCGGCCGAGTTATTATTTTATTTCTTTGTGTTTTCTTTTGGAATATTCAGTGATGGGAGTTAGATAATTTATTCTCCATAGAGTAGATATGGCTGAGATATTACTCAATTAAATAATAACCACGGTTACTATACAAATTTCCTCCATGTCCTGATTTCAATGATAGTTGTGATAAAAAGTTACAGTAATGGGATTAACCGATGAATCCACACGCATCCTCAATCGCAATGTACAGCCAGGGCCGGATTAAGGCGTGGGGCTTTAGTGGCTGCAGCCCAGAGGCCTCCTCCAGCTGGAGGGCCTCCAGAGATGAAGTAAAAAATTATTTTACTTGTGAATGCTGAAATGTATTTGCTGTTAGCCTTGTAAAAATACACTTCATATTTCTTTAAGTTTGTTTTCTTTTTGAAAATATTACTGGGGGCCTCACATCACCTGTAGCCCAGGGGCCTACAACATCTGTATCCGGCCCTGTATACAGCGGATACCATTACCCAGCAGGCTTACCGTCTGCTAACCTATGTGCACATTTAAAACAATCCGGTGACATTGTTTGCACGGACATGCCATTGCGTGTGGTGGTCACAGGGTATTACTAACATTCAGTGCAGTGGTCACACCTGTCAATCAGCATTTCTGCGGTGGGTTTGGTATACATATTGTGGTGATACCGTGCATGTGACACCCACCTGCAGGGATATTTTGGGTGCCTAGCACATCAGCAGAATAAGTAGCTCACTGACTTTCCCATACAGATTTTCTATCAAGTGCCATCCCCGACATATGCGTGGGGTTTTCTCCATGCACTTCAGGTTCTTCACACATGGAAACAAAATACTCAAAAGGGAGCTGGTCAAAACATCCGAAGCAGGACCATACTGAAAATGTCTTGAGGCTTGCTTGAGGCATTCCTTAGCAAGTAGAAGACCATTATTTATAGAAATTATTAATTTCCTCCATCCAAATACTTGCCTGGGGTGTAATGCTCCTCCTACACTGTGCTGCCACAGAAGGCCTCTGACCCTGCAACAGTGAGCCTGTTCTTGCCGTACGAATGACGATGCCATGCTTATCTCTTGTACGTCGCTGTTATCGTGATGATTTCTGTTTGCTGCTGTTGTTGTTGTTGTTGACAGTGGCGGGCGGCGGTGGCGGCACGGGGGTTGTGTGATGCTGGGAGGCGACGGGAGGCAGGTGGCTATACCTGCAGGAGAAAGCGAGGGCTCTCCGGCATGAAGGTGAGCGCCACAACGGCCGACACGGCTGGCAGGGCGCACACGATGACGAACACGCGCCAGCTGTGGAACTGGTACGCGGAGCCCATGCTGAAGCTCCAGCCTGCATGAACACGAGAAGAGATTCCGCGTTGAGCCCTTAAAGACTATAGGGCGAGGGGAGAGGGGGGGGGGAAGCGCTGTCAGAATCAGAATATGTATTTATACTGGAGGAATCCGATGAGCTACACCGATGTCTAGCAGGGACGGGTCGTTGGGTACCTGCCAACAAGGCCGGTATGGCTCACACAAGACGCTCGTGTGGCCGGACAATGCTCGGCCGTCTTTACGTCTCCCCAGATGACGACGATTACACACCACGATAGGTACTCGTTTAAGCCAGAGCTAACCTCGTAGGGACACCCAGGAATAACATAAAACCCTGCCTGGACCATCACACAAAGGAAAGGATCACCCCGTAATAGACTGTTGGGCAAGTGCTCTTAGAGAGTGCCTTATACAAGGGGGGGGGGGGTGGTGGGCAGGACCACGCCAGGCCACCTTTGTCTCCCCACGCCGCCGGGTACTTATTTGGTCGACGTCAACCGAGGCAGGACTCGGGACCGGATCAGATATTCGCCGCCGATGTTAACCGCGTCCGGAAACGTTGCATCAGATCACAGGGAGCGCGCTCAATGCTGCGCAACATTTGCCCAAGCGAAGTGAAATTACTCGCACAGCCTCAGCCGAATCGCACAACCAACGCAGTCAGCACGAGACCGACGCACCAGAGGCTCTATTAATTTTTGCACGAATCATGGCAATTCGCATTTTATGCATTCACGCGTGCACCCGCAAACACATTGGGACACCATTAACCGCCCCTTGCTCGCAAAACAGATGGCACGAGCGAACAACAACCACAACAAGGCAAGCACGCAACACACAGGGCTGATGTTGAGTCGTGAGTGTTTCCTGCACGCCATCAGATTGCAGCTGAGCACTGTGAATTCATCTTGAAAACCCCAGAAAACTATTCCTCGCAGGGTGTTGTTGCACGTTCTATCAAGCTGTACCATATGAGACAGTTTATTTATTGCTCTACAAAAAAAGACAAGATTCAACCCCTCCTCCTTCCTGTGTAGCCTCCACGCCGTGGAGGCAAATGTCCACTGAGAACACCTATTATGGCCAGGACGGTGCACGGCCACCTTTGTCTCCCCAGTGCTGACGTTTACATACCGCACCAGGAACTCGCTTAAGGCTGAGTCAACCTAGGGGAGGCACAAGAGTTGCTCAGATAATTCCCGCTTCTTTCGAGTACGGCTGATGTAGACGCAGGGCAACGACTACAATTTCACGTTCAGGTGGTCGCGCCAGATATCAGCGTCTGGAGCGGCGGAGTGTATCGCTGTGATGTCTCCTTCGTATTTGCGGATTGGGCCATGGCTAACATCAATTTCCACTGATGTGAGCCATGGCTGGTAATCCTAATTCGAACTCGGGCAACCGGTTTTGCAGCTGCACTACCGCTCCACCCTATAAAGACAAAGATAACGATTCCCCCCTCCCCAGCAAATAGCCTTAACAGACTGTTGGGGCAAGTGCTGTTAGCGAGTAACACCTCTGAAGGCCGGCATGGCACACGACGGGGTGGATGGCCAGCACCACGCCCGACAGTAATGCATCTGAACACATACACACATAGCATGCTCCCAAACCTGAATGGACCACATTGCCATGCCACGTCCGTTCTGAGGCAGCGTCATCCCTCTTGACATTTTCCACTCTGATGAACATTTTTTTCATTTTGCTTTCAGAGGGCTGGAGTCAAGGAAATGGCAAGAGGGTTTTTATATATATATAAAAAGTTAAATCAAGGATTGAAATTTCACGTTCAACCCATCCAGCAAAATTCACTTAGTCCAGTTCCGCGTTTGCTTAAATTTCTGGACCAGTCTTGGATGTATTTTTGGTCACTATTGGAATTGACGAATGAACCCATCAGCTGTCATTTATTGCAGAATTCACGAAAACTCTATTCCCGATGGTAAAAATGTAGGTCTCGTGTGTCCAATAAGTTGATAAACACGCGATATAATCATTTCATAATGTAACTTCGTTTTTCATTATGAGTCTCCAGATGCTTTTTTTCTGGAGAGTTATACATTGGGATGTTTAGCCAATATTTTTTTTAGTTTGTGTTGCATGTGGGAGTTTACTGAGACGACCCTCACGCAAGGCAGCATCATACTCAAAGATCAGCAGAGACGAGCTCATGAACCTACTTGCTCTACCTCCATCTCCTGACTAGGCTACAGCCCAGTGGGTTTGGGATTTTAACAAATCTGTGTATGAGCCGGACGCCCCTGGTCTCCAAAGCGTTGGATTAAAGGTTTGCTCCACCTTGCCCAGCTTAATGTTTTGCATTGACAATTATCGCTTTTAAGAGTAAACGTGTCATCTTCGTACTCTTTTCTAACCAGCAATGCCAATGTGATCCTACACAAACCAATGTCAAGCAACTTGAGTGTAAACATTGTCCACCACCCTGAAATATACCCATCCAGTGAATGAATACTTCGGATCAAATTGCCAGAATGTTAATTAATATTGGTCAATATTTATACTTCCAGGGAAGTAAAAATGTAATCCAACCAAGTGGCTCAGCGGTAGAGTGAGTAGCTTACAATCAGAAGGTTGCGAGTTCATATCCTGGTTAGGGGTGAACTCAGCCCATCATCCTTACACGGTCGATAAAGTGTGTACCACTTTTCAGGGGAAGTCAACAGTGGCTTCTCCTATGCATAGACTCACCACTTAACGTAGGGATGTGGAATTGTTACCACTGTCTCAAGGCTGTAAACGGAAGATGAACACCGCCTTTAATGCTCATTATAGCTAGAAATCATGTTTTACCTTTTTTATAAACATTTATTCCGCTTAGGGTTTAGGTTTACTTCGCTACAAAGAACGATGAGGGGAGTAACAAATATTCAGAAGGGGAATAAACACTTCTGAATATTCCTTAATGTCAGTTCCCGGCGGGGAATTAGCATTGGTTTCTGGGGGGCGGGAGAACAAATATCGCAGTGGGAATATTCTGGGGGTGCGGGAGAACAAATATCGCAGGGGAATATTCTGGGGGTGCGGGAGAACAAATATCGCAGTGGGAATATTCCTAAACTAAACTTGTCTTTCATAAGCGGCCTGACCACAAATAATAGCTCAACGAAGTGATTTATAATCACGTGGAAATGTATGGCAGCCAAATAATCTCCCAACGCATGTTCCTAAACGTGGAGGGAAAAACCCGAGGACCTGGAGAAAAATCCACGCGACCACAGCGAGAGAGAGAGACACGCAAACTCCAAATATACAGCAGCAGGCGTCAGGGTCGAGATCGAACCCACGACCTCCTGTATACCAGGCGAGGTAGTTAACATCTCCTAGCCACCGTGATAATGATGATGAGAGAGAGAGACACGCAAACTCCAAATATACAGCAGCAGGCGTCAGGGTCGGCATCGAACCCACGACCTCCTGTATACCAGGCGAGGTTGTTAACATCTCCTAGCCACCGTGATGATGATGATGATGAGAGAGAGAGAGACACACACACAAACTCCAAATATACAGCAGCAGGCGTAAGGGTGGGGATCGAACCCACGACCTCCTGCACACCAAGCGAGGTAGTTAACATCTCCTAGCCACCGTGATGATGAGAGAGAGAGACACGCAAACTCCAAATATACAGCAGCAGGCGTCAGGGTCGAGATCGAACCCACGACCTCGTGTATACCAGGCGAGGTAGCTAACATCTCCTAGCCACCGTGGTGATGATGATGATGAGAGAGAGAGACACGCAAACTCCAAATATACAGCAGCAGGCGTCAGGGTCGGCATCGAACCCACGACCTCCTGTATACCAGGCGAGGTAGTTAACATCTCCTAGCCACCGTGACTTATTGAGCCTTGGCGGCGGCGGGGGGGGGGGGGTAGAGGGAGGGGGGCAGGGCGAATGAGAGAATGCGGTGGTGGGCCGTCTGGCGAGAGGGGGGCACGACGGCTGGAGGGGGGGGGGGGCAGACGGAGTGGAGGGGAAGGGAAGAGGGGGACAATGAATGATCGCAGGCGGCTGGGCGGGGAGGGGGGTGAGAGAACGTCAGCGCCTGGCGACTGGAGTCAGCACAAACCCCGTTATCTCCACGCCTCATTCCCTTTCACTTTCACCCTCGGCTGATTACGGGAAATTACACCATCCATCAGGGAGGACGGGACACGGACCGGGTAGGTTGTGTGCTGTTGTGGGTGGCTGAGGGGGGCTGGGGAGGGGGGTTCGTTGTGGAGGGAGCGGTGGCGCACCGGTTAGCGCGCTGCGCTGCGAACCGGGCGACCAACCAAGTTTGATTCTCACGAGCAACCAACAGCGACGACGAAAATTCTGGCACTCCACTCAGTCGAGTCAGCCTTAAATGAGTACCTGTTGCGGTGTGTAAGCAGAGGCGCTTGAGAAACAAAGGCGGTCGGGCGTGGTGCTGACCAACGACCCCCATCGTGTGCTGTCTTCGTAGCAGCCTTCGTAGGTGCTCACGAATGGCACTTGCCCCAATAGTCTGTCAAAGGCTATCCCCAGGGGATCTTTGTCTTTGTGTCGTCCATGAGTCGGCAGCCAAAATAACAAGACGAGCCCTGTGGGGATTTTTTCTTCTTCGAATTCGGTAAGAAACTCAATATTTCAAGAGGCCGCAACGCACGTGGTGAACACGAGGCGGCGGTCCTCCTTGATGAATAACGTCACCAAGTGAGGCCCTTAAAGAGCCGCGCGCGGCTCTCTGGAGCCGCAGGTTGCCAAACTCCCCGGTGTTGTTGGAGGGGCCATGGGGCGGTGGTGAATTGGGGTGATGGGTAGAGGCGAGGGTGGATCGAAGGGGGGCTGTGGGAGGCAGATAATCGATCTACTCGGCGGCGTCACGTCGCACGTGAGAAGCCGCAGATCCCATGGACCTCACCGGCGTGCATCGACGAGTCAACGGTGATCACGGATTGAGCGGGTGAATAACGATGAACACTCCACGCGCGACCCTGGTGCACGTCACGTGTGTTTACCTTCCTTGTATTGCG